TTGAGTAACCCCTTCCTGGGTTGCCTGTTCGCATTAAGTAATTGTATGTTTTTCAGCCTCCTTGTTCCTTACATATATTCCTTTTGTTGGTTGTGGTGATGGGGTTTTTATTTCTTTGTTTGTTTGTTTTGTTTTTTGACATTCCAAGATTTGGTAGCCCTGGTAGAAGAAAGCTTAATCTAGTTTTGTGGGTCATGTTGACTTTAAGTCGTGGTCCTGCTGTCCCTAGTTCTCACTGGATTGTACGTATCTCGTTCCTCTGTTACCAGACAACAGGCATTTCAGAAGTGCTTTTTGAGCTTCAGAAGTCTGACCAGTGTCAGCCAGGCTGGCACGTGCTGGCCTGGTGAGAAGGTTCTGCCCAAAGCAAGCGTGGTGTGACAGAGAGCTTTCAGAAGTGCTGTTGGTTACATGATCAAATGACAGTGAATTATGTCGGGTGGAGCTTCACAAAAGGACAAAGTTTTCATCCTCACAAGTCTGTGGTTTTCCTGACGCTCTCTGCTTATCCTCAGTCTGCTTAGTGAGCTTCTTTGGTGAAATTGATATAAATATTTGTTTTCAAGTCTTCATCAGTTCCCTGGCCCATCCTGGCCCTCGCCCTGTAAGCTGCATTTTAAAATAATTTGAAATGTTCTCCATAGTATTACTGGTGTTTTATTCTTTCCGTAAGAACCTAGAATTTTCCCTGCATAGCTAACATTGTTATTCTGTAGGGTTTGGGGCGCTACCTTCATTCCTCACTCCTTGGTAAATGAGACGTGTGTAGGCACAGATCCAGCAGTTTGCTTCTGAGCGCAGTCTTACCGAAGTGCACAAGTGAAAAGCAGCCCCTTCTGGTCTGCATCCAGCCTCCCGGGGGCAGAGCAGTAGCAATCAGTGAAGACAGGTTAAAATCTAACTTCCTCTCCTTGGGGATGCATTGGAACATGCAGCCAGAAATACTTGGGCCCTTTCAGTCCCCTCTCCTCCTCATCACAGTCCCTCTCTCTTTTCTGCTCCCGCTTAGAGCTGCAGACACTGCAGGTGCAAGCAAATGGGAAGCCCCAGTGCTGGCTGTGTGCTTTGCAGATGTACTACAGAGCTTTCCTCACCCAGTGCCAGCTCCAGGTACTCTTTTAGCTGAGCAGCAACCTCTGTCCACTGGGAATCAGGTCCTGGGGGCAACAGTAAAGTGATTTCTGTATACTCACTGCATGCAATTAGACCCCTGAAGCAAAAGCTTTTAAAAGCAAGTCCGTAAAATGCCCATGTATCTTTATTAAACGTATTTTCCAGCTGCTTGCAGGAACTTTTCTAATGATTTTTAATTTTATAAAATCTGGTTTTTCCCTGGACTAAAAAAAAAAGTCTGGGCACTAAAAGCTTAGGTATAACCATGTTATTTTTTTCTGTCTCCCAATGATTAAATGCAATTTCATCCATTTAGTAATACTATGATTGTGGCTGCATTAGATAATGCTGGTGGAGAGATGCAAAGAAAAACTAAGTACAATGAGGTAACAATTTATTTTTACTCTTTCTCTAAGTTAAAAATTCCCAGTACATTCAGATGAACAATAAAAATAATTGCAAAATTTTCTCCTGAAAAGGAAATAGATTTTATTCTGAAGCATTAGCAACTTCTTGTTATTTTTCAAAATCAGATGCTAAGCCTTTTCAAGCTTCTAGGTGAAGGGCTGTTGCAGGAGAAATTGGAATATCCATCTTGTGGTTTTATTTCAGAGTTGACTGCCAGTAAAGAGGCACGGTCAGGGTAGGACGCTTTGGGCAGTGTCATTGTTCAAGGTGGGGTGTGGAGACTTCTGGACTGGAGCTGCAGTCCCTGAGGAGGATGTGGTAGAGAAGGGGGAAGTGCGTCTTCACCGTAGGAAATCGTATTTCTGTCAAACACAAAGGACATTGAAGTCTGTCCTTCCGGGCTGTTAAGCTTGCTGTCAAGTCTGCCTTCAGGAGTTTCAGTCGGTGGCTCTCTGTGACAACCTGGATCATTCTTAACTCGTCACAAGGACCTCCCATGGCAGAACACGTAACAGTATTTTAAAGTTGAGCCCCTTTTTAAAACAACCAAGCCAAGATGTGACAGGAGAGCCTTCCTCACCAACTCAGAGTCTTCTGCCGTCATAGCCCCTGCCTTGCCCCTACACCCTCCCCCGACAGGCCAGGGCCTGTCCCCCTTGGCTCCACTCTGCACTTTATGTTTTAAGTATGTGCTGAAGTTACTGAAGGAATAAAAAAGTTTCAGCCCTTAGAAGTTGCAAAGTAGATTCACTGCTATGCAACCCAATTTCCCCCCTACTGCCTCAGGGTCTCTGAATGTTAAATTTTAGATTGCAATTTATTTTGACTATTTCTAAGTTCTTTGCATCTTGGAGTGTTGGGACATCTTTGGGGTCAGCCTAGGGAGCTCAGCACAAAGGCACTGATCTTCAGAAAAGGCATCGGCCTCCAGATGAGGTCACTCATCTTGCAGGCACCTCAAGTGCTTCCAGTTTGACCGAGTGGAAGTCGGGTGGTTTCTGCCTCTGCAGATGCCGTCGGGGTTGTGTTTACAAGACTCGGCTCCTCCACGCTTGCTTTAGCCTTGCTGGTTTTCATGGAATGTTTTTTGGTTTGTTTTCCTGTCTGAATCTTTGATTTATTTTCCCCCTTAAGATGAAAATAAACTAACCTGTATTCCTCCTTTTTTTTTTTTTTTTTCATTTGATACACTGGCCTCTAGATTTTTTCCCATTTATCAAATCAGTGGTGAAGTTTTTAGTGAGAAAACGTTTATCATTTAACTCTGGTTTGGGGCCACTTTTGCATGGAAGTGCATTTATATGTGTGTGGGTTTTAAAACACGAGAGTTCATTTGAATTAAGTAAGCTAAACATTTGAAACCATCAGCCAAATAACACTATCAAGTTTCCCCTTCTTGCTGCATGAAGTCATATCTTAATCTCGGGGAAGAATGCACAGGCTCTGAACATTCATTGAAAATCCAAGTGCTGCTGAGACACTGTCCAGAAACAGCATCTGCTCCTGGAAGCCCGCGCTGTCTGCAGCCTTTGGGAAGAACGGGTGCTCTGAGACTCAGACATGACTTACGGAGGAGGAGGCATTGTGGAGCGCTGGGTGAAGACCTGGACTGGGAGACCACATCCCATACGGGAGCACTGGTTTGAGCCCTGGCTGTTCCACTTTCAATCCAGCTCCTTGCTAATGCTCTTGGGAAAGAAGCAGAAGATGGCCCAAGTCCTTGATCTCCTGCCACTCACGTGGGAGACACAGATGGAGTTCCTGGCTCCTGGCTTCTGCCTGGCCCAGCCCAGGCCATGGTAGCCATTTAGAGAGTGGATCAGTGGAAGACAGATCTCTTTCTCTCTGTGTATCTCCCTCTCTGTCACTCTGCCTTTCGAATAAACAAAATAAACCTTTTTCAAAAATTAGATTTTTTTAGAGTCCCAGAAACACAAGCGATTTTATTTGTTACTACTTAACTGCAAGCATGTTCTCAATAATCTACAAGCACATCCTGTCAACTTCTTGCCACACCCCTCAAAAAAAGTATTGTTAGGGCAACTACTGCCCAGATTCCCAGGAAAAACTGAGTGTCAGCAACCGCAGAACAATGAGCTGCAGTTGTGGGACTGGAACGTTGAACCAGGCACGCAAGTAAGCAGAGAGGCTCCAAAGAAGCAGGCTTTGTTTTTCAAGAAAGACAACAGAAGCAAAAGTTGATAACCCACGAAGGCTAGTAAATAAGTGCACGAGTGCTTTTTCCCTTGTTAATGCAATTCTCAGAATTTGCTTGCTGACCTACCGTTTGGTAAGCAACTTGGTTGAAAGAATGTTTTGGGGATTTATTTTCGCCACAGTATCTGTCCCCTTTTCAGGCCCTGTCAAAGAACAGGGTCAGTAGACACGACCTTGATAAGCAAAGTAGAAAATGATTTAGGTTGCGGAGATGTATATGAAACACTTCTGCTCCTTGCCCCCTGAACCTTAGCAGAATGAGAATGGCTAACACTCCCTGCGCCCTTTCTCTCCTGGAACTTGGATTGTAATTTAGAGACTGTTCTTCATTAAAGTGCCTATGCCTTGCAGCTTTAGGGACAAAGCCATTCCGAGAGAGAATGGTAACGTGGCGAACTAGGGAAAGGCAGAGGCAGCTGTGAAAAAACACTGAAGATGGTCAAACGGTTCTGTCCCACCCGTGCCCACCACTGCTGTGGCGGCCAGGCTACGGGGTCGTGGTGGTTACAAGTCCTCACCTCACCGCTGGGGTGGCCACATGTCCTGACAGAGCAGGGCATGCGCAGGAGCCCTCCCTCCAGCCATGTTGTCTTCAGCCGCCAGTCGGCTTGAAGGGGGTGGCCACGGTTGACCCTGGCGACAATAGCACATGCGTCGTTTCTGTTTCACAAAATGGTGGGAAGGAAAGTCGTGGTGTCATGACTTGGAATGCCATGGACACCTTACGTATCTATAAGGCTGGCGAGAGCACACAAGGGCTGTGGGAAGGCTCCTCTTCCAGTGTTTACAGAACTTGGAAGCTTGTCAAGCGGAGCACCAAGCTAATTGTTCTTGAAGCAGGAAATCTGTAGTGCAGGAAGCAGGTGCCGTGCGATGATTACTACGTTTTCAAATTACTGTACTAACTCTTTGGCTCTTCCAAGTTTGACCTGAGAGAATCAGTAGGCTTTTGGGAAAATGCTGTCCTTTTTATCTATAGACGAATACTAAAGTCAGGTGTTTTAAGGGAAGGAGAGAGTGCTTCAGTAAATCTGGACCCAGAGAGCCTACACGGCAGCAGTGCCACCAGTATCCATTTTTCTTTATTTGTTTTTCTTTTTCTTTTCGGCTTTTAGCATCCCATACTTTCAGAAAACTTGTGACTAAGAGTGAATTCTTATTTTCCAAATTGTTTTCAGACATTTCATGTTCATGTAAACTTGGCTTATTGATTTCCTGATTTTTCTTTATTTTTTTGTTTTGTCCATTTTATTTTTAATCAGCTACATCAAATGGGTCTTTGGAGGGCCTGGATAACCAGGAGGGAGGGGTGTGCCAGACAAGAGCCATGAAGATCCTCATGAAAGTTGGACAAGGTAAAGACCACCTGCTGCTTCGTGAAGCCACTGTGAGCTGGCCGAGCCCCCCCCCCAGCTCGTGTGGCACCAATGTTGATGACACCCACCCTCATTCCTCCTCTTTTTAAGTTTTTATGAAAGCAACCCATGTCTGCACCTCAGCCACAGACACATCTCAAGTCTATATAACAAGTTTCTCCTATTGGAGATCTCTCTAAAAGACGAGGGCAGCCAGGGAAAGTGTCTACTGTCATGTATGTGATATATATATATATATGTGTGTATATATATATATAATATATATGTATATATATTGCTTTTTGAAAAGCAAAACCCTTCTTTGATTCAAAAGCAAAATAGCCACATTGAAAGCTGTATTTTTGCAGTTTTGCTCCTATCTGAAGCTTGTCTACAGAAGAGTTTTGTTCATTGTACCTTTTCACATGTAGATAGCCTATTGTGCAGAAGGAGTTATTCTTCTAATTAGAAATTGGTATAGTAGTCAATCAACTTGCTCAGTTAAATTGAAATGTCATCTGCAATGCTTTGCCTGCCAAATGCAAGAATCCCTATAGTTTCCACAGATGGCCTCACAATCTAAACCTCTGAAATAACTAGTACAACCATTTTGTCTTAGAAGGAAAATTATATTCTTGTATTTCACAGTGCTTTGCATAAAGAAGCTCATGCTCATTGCTATTCATGCTTGTTGAGATGTGTACACAGCTCCTAAGCTAGATAGCGTCAGATGTCGGTGCTGTAGTAACCGTTGATTTTCCATATAGATGCGAGTTCTGCTGGATCAACCCGGAATAATGATCCAACGAGACGACCAGAACTAGAAGCTGGTACAAATGGAAGAAGTTCAACAACAAGTCCCTTTGTAAAACCAAATCCAGGTATAGCCACATGATCTCGTGTGTGTGTGTGTGTGTGTGTGTGTGCACGCACACGTGCATGTGTGAGAGAGGAGAAAGAGACACTGCCATGTATTGCATTCCAGTTACTTCTCAAGAGGTAGAACAAAGAACTTCTGCACTGGTAGGATTAACTAGTTGTTACAGATGCCAGTAATCCTTGCTCTCAGTGAGTTTTTACTAATTACACTCAATGAGAACAAAGTAATGCATTCCTGTGAATGTCTAATGTTCCAAAGAGTAGAATTCATCAGCTACAAGTGCCATTTGTAGATCTGCTTCTTCAGACCCAAGTTCTCATTGGTCGACACTTGATCAGGCTGGTTGTCAACACCAGCTTAGAGCTGATGTTAATGTATATATAATTAATGTTGTAATCCCTCATCTAATTACATCTAATCCACAAAGAGCCTAACTGATCCTCTTCTGAATTTTAGAGGGTAACATTGTAAAATATTGTAGAGCAGTATGTTTTGCAGGTGGCAAACATTTTTTTTTTCAAATTCTCTGTGCAAACTAAAATATCAAATGGATCTCTGACAAAAGTTTAGAATGCCCAGTAAAATTGGCCGTCATTGGAGTTCGTGTTCTTAACAGCCTTGAGCCTAGTGGCTGCGTATCTGTTACCATGCTAATGAATGTTTCACGCAGTAGCTGTCGCACAGGAGTCAGCATTGTGTTAAGATCTGTATGCTGGGTTGTAGTTGTGCAGCCTCGCATCTGCACCCACACCCGTCTCTCTCCAAGAGTGGAGAAGGGAAGTTGTTATTTCTAACTTTCAATGACAAGATGTGTCAAATCCCTGTGACAAACTGATAAATGGGTAATATAATGATGCCAGGCAGTTTTTTAGTGCTTAACATTTGGGCTGGCAGTCTGTTCAGCACGCGAGTGTCTGCTGCCTTCCAAATATACTCTAAGTGCAAATCAAATAACACACGCGAATTACAAGCTGAACATCCCCCCGGGCCCATCGCCTCTCTGGCGTCCTGGCCGCTGCTGGGAGCCCACGCCCGAAGGACAGGAGCCCTGTCCCCTGCGCGCCCCCGGAGATGGTGTGAGCCTGGCCCCCGCCCTCCCTGCTGCGGCCCCCGCCTGGGCTCTTGCGCTGGGAAGGGAGTGGTTTGGGGCGGCGGGGCGGAGCCGACCCAGAGCCCGGTCCCTGCGGCGCGCGGCCGGACGTGTGCAAGGAGCTGTCGGCTCGAGCCTGGGGCCCCGTTCGTTGGCCGTGCATTCGCGGGGCTCCTGGGCCGGCGGTGACCACCCCTGTCCTCTTCTCCCCGCCCGCGCAGGGTCTAGCACAGACGGCAACAGCGCCGGACATTCGGGGAACAACATCCTGGGTTCCGAAGTGGCCTTATTCGCGGGGATCGCGTCAGGATGCATCATCTTCATCGTCATCATCATCACCCTGGTGGTGCTGCTGCTCAGGTACCGGCGGAGACACCGCAAGCACTCGCCGCAGCACACGACCACGCTGTCGCTCAGCACGCTGGCCACGCCCAAGCGCGGCGCCAACAACAACGGCTCGGAGCCCAGCGACATCATCATCCCGCTGAGGACTGCGGACAGCGTCTTCTGCCCGCACTACGAGAAGGTCAGCGGGGACTACGGGCACCCGGTGTACATCGTGCAGGAGATGCCGCCGCAGAGCCCGGCCAACATCTACTACAAGGTCTGAGCGCCTCGGGCCGCACCTGCGCCTCACCGGAGCGCGCCCCTGCGCCGGGGCACTGACTGCGGCCCCCGCCCCGGGCCTGGGGCCTGCCCAGCCGGACAGCGGACCGAGCCCCGTCGCGTCTCGGCCCCAGCGGACACAGACACTGGCTGGAAACTGGAGGCCGTGCGGGGCGGCCCCTCGGACCGCCGGGCCGCCCGCCACCTCCGCATCCTCAGGCCTCTGCGGGATTGGCGCGTGGCCAGGACTGGCCCCCGGACCGGGCTGCTAGGCTCCCCGGCCGTCCCCGCAATCCCGTCCCCCACCCAGCCCGGGCCAGCGCGGGGGCCCTCACTCCACGCCCGCGACACCGCCCTCCACCAGCTCCGGCGGCTCAGGGCTGCTGCCTCGGAAGCTAAACTCACTTAGGTAGCACAGCACTTTGGTCTTTGAAGAGGCAGGCAGGAGTCAGGCTGACGCAGCGCCTCGCGGTGCATGGGGGATTCACTGTTATCGAGGAGCCACGTGGCAGGGAGACGGGCCCTGGGCGCTCCGTGGAGCCCAGGGGAGCGGGGCCCCAGGCGGCCGGGCAGGACCTTGTGGTACTGGCAATAAGCAGCCCCGGAGCTGTCCGGAGCACACCCAGCTGCTATACTTACCACGTTTCATGAAACAGGGAGAGCGTTGAGGAGAGCAGCAGAGAGCCAAATCTGACCTAGAAGTGGGGAAGCCGGAGGGCGACCAGGCCGTGAGGCCATGCCCCTGGACTCGAGGACAGACGCCTCGTGTGGCACAGGCAGGTCCGAGCCCCCTGGCCCGCCCCCTCCCCGCCGCTCGCTGGCCCGGGGGTGCTGGCCAGGTGAGGCCTGTGCGGGGGCCGCTGGCCAGGTGGGACGCACGAGGCCTGGAGGAGGGCAGGGCGTATTTATAGTAGGTGTACAGAACACGAGGGATAGAAGAGGAGAGATTTCTACTAATATATATTGTAAGATTGCACACAGTACACACCAGAAGATGTGAAATTCGCTTGTGGCGATGAAGCGATTCCCAACGCTCAGTGCTTTTAGAAAACAAATAAAAGTAATAATAAAATTGGGCCGTCACTTCTGGGCACAACAACATCACTCTAAAAATAACAGTATCGAGAGCAAACACAAAAATAGCAAGAGTCCTCAGAAGGCATCTGCACCACCTAGACTAGAAAATGCAGGCCCCGGCGTGGGCCTGCCCTCGCCTTAGGGGCTCGTGTGCTCGGGGTCTGGTCGCAAGTTCAGCTCTGGCTCCCTCCTGGGAAACAGGAAGAGGAAACAAGAAACCTACTTTTTTATGTGCTATGCAAAATAGACATCGTTCACGTAGTCCTGTTACTATGGTAACGCTTTGCTTTCTGAACTGGGGTGGGGGTGGGGGTGGAGATGTAGCAACAGCATTTTGAGGTTCTCAGACCTCCAGCCGTCGCAGAAATAATTATCCCCTCTATTTCCTGAACCTGAAAATGATGTTGGTCCAAAGTGTGTGCGTGTGTGTATGCGTGGGTGTGTGGCATACGTGTGTACGTATATGTATAATATATATCCACAGTATATATATTATATATATAAAAATCTCCTGTTTCTGCGGAGGGTTGCCATGGTGACCAGCCACAGTGCATATGTGAGTCCTCGCAGCACCCCACCTCTGCTTCCCCTGCACTCCTACCAAGATTTCCTTGGAAGCCATCAAAAGTCACTCTTAGGACGCGGGAGAGGGCCCAGAGGGAGGACATGGGAAATAGTCTGATTTTAATGAAATCAAACGTACATGTCATCGGTTGGCTAGGTTTTGGTCATGTGCTAAACTGTGAAAAGTCAGATGAGTTGATGAAGAGTTACCTGCAACCAATCGAAAAGTGTTCTGTGCGTCTGTTTTTGTGTCTGGTGCAGACTATGACAATCTACCAACTGTCCCTTTCTTTGAAGTTGGTTCGGCTTTGGAAAGTTACTGTAAATGCCTTGCTTGTAGTTTCATCCCTAGTCACCTGACTCTGGAATTTGCACCATCCTGTTTAAGTGAAGATGCTGTAAATAGGTTCAGATTTTACTGTATATGAATTTGGGGTGTTACAGTAGCCTTATTCACCTTTTTAATAAAAAAATACACATGAAAACAAGACAGAAATGGCTTTTCTTACCCAGATTGTGTACATAGAGCAATGTTGGTTTTTTATAAAGTCTAAGCAAGATGTTTTGTATAAAATCTGAATTTTGCAATGTATTTAGCTACAGCTTGTTTAACGGCAGTGTCATTCCCCTTTGCACTGTAATGAGGAAAAAAATGGTATAAAAGGTTGCCAAATTGCTGCATATTTGTGCCGTAATTATGTACCATGAATATTTATTTAAAATTTCGTTGTCCAATTTGTAAGTAACACAGTATTATGCTTGAGTTATAAATATTTTTTTCCTTTCTTTGTTTTATTTTAATAGCCTGTCCTAGGTTTTTAAACCTGCTTTAGTTCCACATCACAGTTAGCCCCCAGAAGATGAAATCCGTGAGGTCACATTCCACGTCTGTTTCAAACTGAATTTGTTCTTAAAAAAATAAAATATTTTTTTCCTATGGAAAAAGCGCCTTCAAAGTATTTTCCTTTTCAAGGTTTTTTTTCTTTTTCATTTTCCTTTCTTTTTTGTTTCTTATTTTGATTTGCTTGCTTCTACACTTTTTCTCCAAAACTGCAGTTATCCAGAGGCCTCTGTCCATGGTCCTCTCTGAGCCCATTTTCCGTTCTGGATAATCAAGTATCAGCTTTGCTAAGAGCCGTGAGTCCTTTGGTTTCTCGATGAAACTCCTGAACTCACACTAGCCGAATAACATTTTACCATAGGTGTATAAAGTCCTCATCATCTAGTTGCATCACCGGGTCCAGACGGTTGTAAGTTAGCTGTGAGAGCCGAACAGGGCTCTGATCGAGTTTTGTGCAAAGCAGTGATCCAGCAACTGCTTCACTCTTCTTCACAGAGTAATCTCAGGGGGAAGGAAAAAAATGTGCTTCATAAAAATTCGACATTGATGAAAGGACAGTTTGTGAGTGTAGTGAAGGCGAGCCAGAGGCCACCAGTGAGCTGAGCTTCCTTTGCCCTGAGGGTCAAGAAGCCTCTTCCCATCTTGGGAGCCTTTTAAGAAGGGCAGGCTCCATCCTGTGCACAGGGAAGCCCTTCACCTGCCCCCTGGGCTCTGAGTGCAGAGATCTCGCTCTCCCTTACCAGAAGGGGTGAGATGTGGCTGGGAAAGGCCCTGGAAGCAGCGGGAGCAAGCCGCATTTTCCAGGCTTTCCTGACTTGCCCAAGATCGCACTCCTAGTAGGAGGAAGGAGCCACATGTTGGAAAAGCTCCCCGGGAGACTCTGATCAAAGACTGTAGGAACCAAGGATCTAGGCAGCTTTGCTTTTACACAGTCCTGGTACTAAGGAAATGTTTGTTGAGTAAACGCTTGCCTTCACACAAAACAAAAGTTCCCCAGAGTCCCACAGTTTAAGTCGCTGCTAGAATCATTTCCTCCACTCCAGGGTTGTGTCTGCTGCACCCCGCAGCCCCTCAGTTGCAGGATTCTCAGCCACATCACCAAACGCTGGATCCCACCCACCCACGCAGATCCGGAGCACTCGTGGTTAGTCTGGGTAAAATGAACAAACAGCGAAGGCTTGCATTTTCAACTTTCACTTTGTGACCTTTGTTGACAGGGAGGCTGCCAAATACACAAAGTCATCATCTCTGCCTGTGAGACCGCATTTTCCACACTAAGCAAGCCAAGCTCTGCCGAGAGCGAGGAAGACGCGCCCAGGTGTTAGTCCTCTCAGGTGGGAGGACTCTCCTGGGGGAGTTCTGTGTGGCAGGTGCTCAGCACTGCACCCGTCAGCAAGTGTGCTCCAGCTCTCAGGCTGTCTGCTCCCTCCTGGGCAGACCAGTTGCACACATGCTGACAAAGGTTCGCAGGGAGCAGAGAAATAAATGAATAAAATGTCCCTTACTGCAGCCAGCTCACTGCCTGCCTCTGGACCCAACCCAGGAGAGAATCAGTAAAGGAAAAAAAAAAAATAATTAAAAATCAGAGCAAGAAAAAACACTTTTCTTTTAAAAAATTTTATTTATTTATTTGAGAGGTAGAGTTACAGACAGAAGGAGAGGCAGAAAGATCTTCCATCCACTGGTTCACTCACCAGATGGCCACAACGGCCAGAGCTGGGCCAATCTGAAACCAGCAGCCAGGAGCTCTCTTGGGTCTCCCACGCGGGTGTTGCAGTCCAAGCGCTTGGGCCATCCTCTACTGCTTTCCCAGGACAAAGCAAAGACCTGGATAGTAAGAGGAGCAGCCGGGACATGAACTAGAGCCCATATGAGATGCTGGTGGCACAGTCGAAGGCTGAGCCCACTACACCACAGTGCCAGCCCCCCAAACTACTTTAGTAACATGTAGAGAATTGCCCTACTTTTTAGCTAGGAACAAATAGGTCTTCAGGTGACTCAAAAGGAGACAATTGCTGCTGTAACACCAAGACACTCCCCTGGGTGTTCCCCGGCTTTTCATTTTGTTTTCAATGGATTTGGGGTTTTGTTTGTGATATTTACACCTTACATTTACTTGAAGGCAAAATTGCAGTGTTGTAATGCAAAACCTATCTCCTATTCCTCCTCACTGTTAGGAAAGGAATCACTCATCAGTGATTATTCAAATACTATATGTATTTGTAAGAAAATATGGCAAACCAGGCAAATGACTCCTATTTTTCAGTGATTAAACTGTGCCTCCAAAATAAAGATGCATTGGCTCAAGATTCTTGTACTTTGACAATTGATTAAAGAGAATCTCTTAAAAACATCTCTTGGAGCAGGGGTTTGGCCTGGTGGTTAAGATGCTTGTTAGAGGTCCACATCCCGGCCTGGAGTACCCGGGTTCAATACCCAGCTTCCTGCCAGTGCAGATCCTTGGAGGCAGTGGTGACGGTTCCTGCCGCCAACGTGGGAGACCTGGCTTGTACTCCCAGCTCCTGGCTTTGTCTGGCTGTCACTGGGGCATGAACCAGCGGACGGGAGTGCTAGCTTTCTCTGTCTCTTCTCCTCTCTCTCTGCCTCTCCAATAAATAAATTAAAATATATAATTCTTTGTGCAAAGTCAGTTAGGCTTTTTAAAACAGCTGCCACAAGGGAAATAATACCCAGGATATCAGCAGTTTAGTGCCAATTGTAGACGATAAATGTGTCAAACGCTTGAAAGAGGGCTCAGGCTTGCAGCCCGCGGGACGCCCTGTGGCCTCGCAGCAGTTCCTTTATGTGCTGGGACTCAGCGGTCTCCCTGGGGAAGAGGGAGAGATGGACTTCAAGACGCTGAAGGTCAGCTTGGGCTTTCTGCAGGACACGAAGCAATGTCAGCAGCACTTTCAGGTGTGCAGAAGGCTTGCTCCGCAATCCTCGGAGTGCGCGGTGTGTCCCAGAGGCAAAGCTCGGACCGAAGCCGGCCGGGCTGACTCCCTGCCTTCTCCTCCTCTCATGACCTGTTTTGCTACATCTGGCCACCCGCTGTGCTCATCGAGAACCCACCTGGTGCCCCCAATTCTGTCCCTCTCCTCTCCTTCCTTGAACCAAGATCCCAAAAGATTTAATAGCCAAGAATTGATGGGGGCGGGGCGGGGGGCAGAAACCAGTGCTGTGGCACAGCAGGTTAAAGCCCCGGCCTGCAGTGCCAGCATCCCATATGGGCACCGGTTCAAGTCCCCACTGCTCTGCTTCCAATCCATCTCCCTGCCGATGCTCCAGGGAAAGCAGCAGAGGATGGGACTTGGGCCCCTGCACCCACATGGGAGACACAAAGTAACCTCCCAACTCCTGGCTTTGGATTAGCTCAGCTCCGGCTGGTTGGGGAGTGAACCAGCTGATGGAAGACCTCTCTCTCTCTGTCTTTCAAATAAATAAAATAAATCCTTTAAAAAAATCGATGGAGGAGGGGGACTGTTGTGCTTACAGCCCTGACCCTGGTTGTGAAGCAGAATCCGTCTGTCTTGAGCGTCCCTACAACATCCAACACTTGCCTGAGCTATTTCATCCGGGTCACCCCTGCCAGCCATGTGTAGGTGCAGTGTCCCTTTTACTTATTAACTTGGCCCAGCCTCACCTGTCCTCCACGCAGACCTGAGATTAGTTCACCTAGTGTCTGATTCTTTCAGGCTGCTGTCTGGGACGCGTTCTTCTCACTCCTTCAGCATTTAGACCTCCAATTCCATCATCTGTAGCCGAGAACTGTATAACTGAAAAACATCTCCTAGCTGATAATACAGCTATTTCCCAAGTGCCACTCATGCTTAATGAAGGGGAATTTTGTGTGTGCTGTGTTTAAAGGCATAATGATTCTTTAGCCCAAAAAGTCCAAGAGCAGTGAGAGAGATAAATATCATCAAAGAAAATTTCTTAAAATCAACTGGAATCTGACTTCAGGTAGTCGGTTCTACACAGTGGCCCCATGAATGCAGCTCAAAAGGAAGACAAATACAATTGTAGAGATTTCTGTCTAGCTCTGGGGAAGAAGAAAAATGGAACAGGAAATCTCCCTGAGGAGGGCCCCAGGTTAAGCTGCCACCTGGGACGTCTTCATCCCATGTTGGAGTGCCTGATTCTCATCCTGACTGCTCCACTTCTCCTACAGCGTCTGGCTAATGCACCTGGGAAAGCAGTGGATGATGGCCCAAGTACTTGCGTTCCTGCCACCCAGGTGGGAGACCTGGATGGAGTTCCAGGCCCCTGGCTTTGGCCTGACCTAGCCTTGGCTGTACAAGCATTTGGGGAGTCAATTAGCAAATGAAGACGTCTCCCCTCCCCCCAGCATCGCTCTGCCTTTGAAATAAAATAAATAAATCTTTTGAAATGAAGAAGAGCAAGAGCTCCCAACTTGCTGCGTCTTCCATTTGGGTCTCTTAGTTCCTCGTCAACTGAGCCATGTGCATTGGGCTGAAGATGCTGAGAAAGGTGTGAGAGAGATTTCTGGAGGGTTTGGTTTAGATTCCTATGTTTTAGAGGAATAATTCTGTGTGGTTCGGAATCCTTTACCCTCTGTCAGCGAGTACAACCTGATGGAGAGAAAGCACAGACTTCCCAAATCTGACACCCTCTGTCGGGACCCACTGGCTCCGAGGGCACCCAAGGCAAAGCGTGTGGCTGCCCGTCTGCTGTGGCTGCCTCGGGAACGTGGATTCTTCTAGAGACCCTCAGAGACCTGCTAGGTGGGACTCACTTTGAAGTGCAGCTTCTAAATCCCAACACGTCTGCAGCTACGGGCAGAGAGCACCTGCCGGTGAGCTGAGAGCGACAATAGAGGCAGAAACAGCGCTGGTTAGGGCCAGGCTCAGCCGCACCTTTCATCAGACTGGTCCAAGACGCTCAAAATGAGCCCTTCCAAGCAGACTCCTGTTTATCCACAAGTCTAGAAGCAAAGGGTGATTTCCACACGTGGGTGCATACAGCCACATGCACATTGATACATTCACTTAAACATGCCTCTACACGCTTACTGTAGGCCCAGCAGCTGCTAAATGTCATGAAGGCAAGGTTCTCCTATCAGGGAATTCACAGTGCTGTCAGCAACTCTAACACTCT